AATAAAAGGAAAGCCAACGCGGCCAACAATGCTCGTTTTATATTTCTCCCATAGAAAATAATCAATTGACATTGCAGTAAAATTGACGCGAATAAAAATTGAACTTTGGCTTTTGTCATTCCGACTACTTAATTCCGCGCGATACAACCGAGTCTCTGTCAAGAAGATTTCGAAAAAGGATCCCCTCTGTAAGATCGACAAAAGGAAAGCCAACGCGGCCTACAATACTCGTTTCATATTTCCCCCATAGAAAATAATCAATTAATATCCCGGTAAAATTGACGCGAACAAAAATTGAATTTTGGCTTTTGTCATTCCGACTATTTAATTCCGCACGATACAACCGAGTCTCTGTCAAGAAGATTTCGAAAAAGGATCTCCCTTTGTAAGGTCGACAAAAGGAAAGCCAACGCGGCCTACAATACTCGTTTCATATTTCCCCCATAGAAAATAATCAATTAATATCGTGGTAAAATTGACGCGAACAAAAATTTAATTTTGGCTTTTGTCATTCCGACTACTTAATTCCGCACGATACAACCGAGTCTCTGTCAAGAAGATTTCGAAAAAGGATCTCCCTTTGTAAGGTCGACAAAAGGAAAGCCAACGCGGCCAACAATACTTATTTCATATTTCCCCCATAGAAAATAATCAATTAATATCGTGGTAAAATTGACGCGAACAAAAATTGAACTTTGGATTTCATTATTCCGACTACTTAATTCCGCGTGATACAACCGAGTCTCTGTCAAGAAGATTTCGAAAAAGGATCTCCCTTTGTAAGGTCGACAAAAGGAAAGCCAACGCGGCCAACAATACTTATTTCATATTTCCCCCATAGAAAATAATCAATTAATATCGTGGTAAAATTGACGCGAACAAAAATTGAACTTTGGATTTCATTATTCCGACTACTTAATTCCGCGTGATACAACCGAGTCTCTGTCAAGAAGATTTCGAAAAAGGATCTCCCTTTGTAAGGTCGACAAAAGGAAAGCCAACGCGGCCAACAATACTCGTTTAATATTTCCCCCATAGAAGATAATCAATTCTTAATTTAATGAAAAATTTAATTTATACCCTTTTGTGCTCCGAAGGGGCCGTAAAAAACTATGTCCCGGTACAATACAAGAGGAGAGGTAAAACTCCGGTAAGTTAGCGCCGTGAAGCGGCTCGTATTGTATCGGGAAATGACCTGTGATCCGCACCTGTACAGAAACACCCCATAATTACAGTACGGTTACGTAAAGCAGCCGTAAATTGTGCCACGACTGCGAGTCCCTCTAAAACACTGGAACTACCTGAATTAACAGTTTTTATCGCGCAGGAAGGGATCTAAGAAAATATGATTCCCGGCGCCGTAAAAAAAAGGAAAAAAGGGGGCGGGTGAATCCGGGAAAAAGGTGGGAACACAATAGCAACCGGCTTCAACGTTTATATCCGAGATTACGTATGATCGGCTCCCGTAAAAACCTCTCCTGAAATTATTATATAATATTCCCCGGCAAGAATTCGGGGGACGCGCGTCATTAAAATAAATTAACGAGTTACCTCCGCCCGTAAAAAAAAGAGAAAAGACGAAGAGCGCGTTTCTCGATGGCATCAAAACAGAATTTCACTTCGAAACTGACGCGTTAGTTAAATTTCCGAGGCTGGAATTAAATATCCTGGTTTAATTAAATTAAAAGGCGAATAAAAGACATTATTGTAAACGGATGTTTATTGAATTTCTAAGAGAATGAATATGCGCTCGGGATATTTCTGGCCTCGTAGAAATTTCATCCGGAAATTCAGGCGGTCCTTAATCAGGACTTCAACGTCCTCGTTAGCGACGTTCAACCTGGTCGTGAACTCTTTATCTGTCGTTGACCTGACGAGAGTCCTCAGGGTCGTCGGCGAGCTCTTCAGGGTGGTGCCATATGACGGGCGGAAGGATCCTCGACTTCGAAGGTCCTTAATGTGTCCTGCCTAAATCGGGGCTAAACGTCAAGGATAACGAGGCGAGTCGGGACCGACTTCATCATTCGGACCCTGGGGAAAAATTTCTAGGATTATTAAAATAATAGTGGAGGGCATGTCTGCTGTCAATAGGAAGTAAAACCGAATTCCATGAGAATTCCAACCCTCGAATGCAACCACCTGGTCCACATTCACGAGGGAACACCCAGTAATTGAAACACCTCGGTGAAGTGCAGTAATGATGCGCCTCCACGGGAACTTTATAGCGAGTCGGAAATGTATGCACTCGTAAAAACGAGACAGGAGAATTGCGCGACGAGGCAAGAATTCCCGAATTTAACGGCGCCTGCGTGAAGTTGTTCGTAAAAAGTGGAGGGTCCAAAGTGGCGTTCTTCAGGGTCCTCTTCAAGGTCCTCAAACGCATCGATTGATCGATCTCCGGTGCGTAAAAGACAAATAAATGTTATTCCACTGATAGTGGAAAGGATCCATAGCGGGCGATCTCTGGAAAGTTTGCCTTAATTACACCCTGAGGTCTAATTACGCGAAACTGGGGCAGCATGGGGTGTTGCGTCAAAAAGGGAACTCCCTACATTTATTATTATTTGCACACCGCCAGTGGATTTCTCATAACTCGCGGGGAAATCTGAAGTATGAATTTTATTTTTTTATGAAACTGCTTGTGGGGTGATATTAAATGTAAGTTCACCATTTTCGAAACGGAGTACGTTTCAAGCGACACATTTCTTTTATTTTCATTAAATTATTGATTAATGTCTGATAATTCTTTATAATTTAGTAGTATCATTTCCAACGCACGGGACGAGTATGCGGATTTTTTTAAATCTCCTCTCGTTCTCCGGCGAAATTACGCGACTCCACCTCGAAGGGCCGATATTACTCGGTAGGGCTGCGGCGCTCGATACGTCCCCTCGTATCAGCGAAAGCTCGGGTCGCGTATGGTAATATTTCAGCATAATCTCGCGTGTCCAAAGTGATTTCGAAGAGCCCTGGGCTGGCCTCGGTGTTCATAATGGCAGCTCAAAACGTCCCGGATCCTGCGCCCCGCGATACTTTACGTGTACTTCGGCCGATACCGATACCGATATCGATAGATCATTCGAACAGCTCGGCATACGTTTTTCCGAAAAGCTTCGCTTGCGAGAAAGTTATTCGCCCTCCCGGTGAAAATAGTTCTCGCCGTCCTATTTTTCCCAGCTTCTCCGAGACGATATGGATTTTTCATCGGGCCAAACCTAGGAATTTGCCCTCCCGAGTAACGTCTCGGAAATATTGCTGGAAATCTTTTTTTTTTATTTTTCCGTAATTCACGAGGCTTCCACTAATCCGAAGGGAAATTCCCGAGAAGGAAAGAAAAGTACTCCGGATTTTGCCGGAATTTAAAATGAAGAATCTTAAGAAGTTACCGCTAGGCGGAAGGAGGATTCGAGGGAGCTTTTAAGGGTCTTGGAATTATCTCTACATATTTATTTATTCTTTTTCTTGAAGGAAGAGAGTTCCGTGATCCGTCGAATTTCCATGGGATGTATATCGAAGGGGGAATAGAATGTCGGATATTGTACGACGTACACCGAGAATTGGAAGCCCCTGCGAGCAAACTGCTAGCCATTCTCCTGTGTAGAAATGGCAGCCTGCCACCAGGCGCCATATTTTCCATCCCGAGGAATACCGCGAAGAGAAATCACGTCTCCTTAAAGTATGACGGATTATGCGAACCATCTACGTTCATCCAGATCCTTGGAATATTTCTTTCATATCCCTCTAATAAATATAATTCCCTTTCATCTTGTTTTATTTTTAGTTCAGGGTGTTTCAATCATAACCAGCCTGTTCAGCTCTGTATACCTGATCAGAATATCCGTACAGAGGAAGCACCTATTTTCATAGGTTAGGAAAAATTCATTAGGGGGTAATTAATCCCAATTACCGCGCACAATCACGATCGCAGCGACTCGATTCCTTTATCTGGAGCGGAGTTGCAAAAGGAATCCGATAATTGGGCCTCGAAGCTCCATTCGAGATGCCTCGGGCGAAGGGGGGAAAAACCGAAGAAGTCCGAACTTCCGGACGAAATAATCTCGCCGGAAGTGCGGCGAGGATCCGCTAATGTTTCCGGAAACCGTCCGGCGCCGATCCGCGAACTTCCGGACGGGCGACCCTCCCTCGGAGTTACCGAACTACCCTTGCAGCATTACTCTTGAATTTTAACGGCTCCGGGCACCATTAACTCCCCTTTCTCAAAAAGTCTACCGTTTGCAAATGGTGGCTTAGGGCAACGACGCTAATAAACTTCCCGAGTGCGCGGCCGTTCCCAGCCCCGAAGTCCGCGAGGAAGATGGAGCGCCCTGTGATTAAAACGGGGTTCCTCTTCGGGTACTCTCGCGCCCTGAGAAATTCATCTGGCCTCTTTCAAGGGCCCTCGTTCCTCGTCCTCCACCTCTCGTCTGCGACCCTTCCGGATGACTCCCCCTGGAAAAACCTTTGACACCTTGAAGAGCATCCACCACCAGGATCCCCCGAAATCATCTCCACGTCGACACTGATCCTCCTTTACCTCCAAAAATGATCCAGAATTTTGCAATCAAGCCGAGGAGATCACTTCCCTCTACTACATATTTCCCAGCATTTTTATTAGCGATTACATTTCTTCTTTTTTTTTCCGCGAATTTAATTTCACGCTTTTGCAAAGCTCACGCAGAGTGTGTTAATAATTAACCTGCGATTCGTTTCGTTGCAGGAAAATGCATTTTGTTAAATTTCGAAAATTTTTTTACAAGAAGAGGCTCAATTTAGGGTGGTATTGGTAGAGAAGTAAGGGATGAGAACGAAATAATGGACGTGGTGGACGTCGATATAGGGCGGCAGGGTTACTTACCGCGGTAAGCCGAGTCTTTTAGTAAAATCTAGATTATCTCGGGGAGGGGCCTCGATTTATAGGAGAAAGAGCCGTTCGAGGCACTCCTGGATCCCGGTAAATTGGATCGAGAGCAAGCTCTGTAAGTGGATATATTTTTCTTTAGAAGGCAGACGATGAGGAGCGAGCCAGGCTGCCGGAGTTCCTCTCGGAATTGGACCTCGCGAGTTTGGAGGCCTCTGAAGAGGACGTGGAAGCTCTCAGGAAGGTCGTCAAGAGACTCGCACCCGAGAAGAATGGCGAGTACCAAGTGTACCAAGGTTGATCGTTTTGTCACTAACTATTGACTAATTCACCCCGAGAAACTCCGATCAATTCGGTAAATTCATCTCCGATTATTTCCTAGTTTTCTTCGGCAACGAGGACCTCCTGAAGGAGTGGCTCAAGGGAGCTGGTACTGGATAATTACCTCTGATTTGATCGCGCACTTGATGTGTAATATAGCTTTGACATAGCTTTGACTCGCGCCCTTAGAATTTCTCTCGGTACTTTTTTTTTTTCCTTCTTTTTTATTACTACCGAAAATTATGTTACGTAGAAGGATGGATGTTTATAGTTCGTCGCATCTGCATGGAAAGTCCAGGACGTAGCATGGGATATCAGTTCATATTTCTGCCAAGAAAATATCATATGAAACATAAAAAATGCTCCAAGTGCCTGTATTTTTTTTTTGTAGAAAATTATCCCGCTTCTTGTAAAAAGTATTGTATGTAACGTACCCGTGGCTTAGATTGTTTGCTAGGTGATGCGATTTTTGTCATCCCTGTTTCGTAGCTGTGTAATTAATTGTCGATTAATAAGCCACTTGCGAGTCGTAGTTACCACGCTGTACAGAGTATGACCTTAATTCGTGTATCATAGTGCGGCAGTAGGGCGAATGCGTCGATTTTCAAGAGCCTCCACCTGTTACTTAACATGAAAATTATTTTTTAGGAGTGGTGGGTCAACCCGGAGTGGACTTCCCAGTCCTGACATCGATTCCACCCACGTCGTTCAGCTGTCGAGAGTTGAAGGGCGGTTACTACGCAGACCTGGAGACGAGTTGTCAAGTACGTAGAAAAGTCCATTAAACGACAAAAACTGGGAGAAAAATTCCGTAACAAAGCCCTTTCGTATCTCCAGGTCTTCCACATATGCGACAACGGGCGGAAGATCTCGTTCCTGTGCCCGAACGGAACGATCTTCCAACAATCGCAACTAATCTGCGACTGGTGGTTCAAGGTGGACTGCAGCAAGTCAACTGAGCTGTACGAGCAAAGTGCCGAACAGCTGGCAGAAGAGGAAAGAAAACGAGCAGAAGCGAAGAGGATGAACTCCGAGTTCCACAGGAGTTCGGATAAGGACGACACCCTGGACTACGATGGTCGGCAAAACGGCAGAATGAACCCCTACGGTCAGCCGGCTCTTCAGAACCAACTTCAAGGGAACCAGCAAAAGTCTAATCAATATCCGGGCCGAAGTCAACAATCAAAGCCCAGGCAAAATCAATTCGTCCAGTCGAACAGTCTAAGTGGCAGCGACAGATCGAACCAACCCTCGGACACCTTCAACCAGAAGCAAGGATTCCCATTCAATGATTACAGGTCCAAGACCAAGACCAACCAAGACAACAGATCGATTCAATCCTCAAACGGTCAAGATCATCGAGTGATCGAGAACGAGAAGAGTTTAGGGCCTCCGAAATCTAGGTCGAGGAACGATTTCAGCTCCTCGATCCAGAAGGTGACTCCAGTTTACACAGAATCCACGACATTCCGGACGAGCACCTCGAATCCCGTGAAGGAGTACCAACAGCCAGCCGAGAGCGTCGCCTTCGCGGCGAACCGCAACAACCGCTACAACAAGGCGTACAGTTCCAATCAATTTAACAACATCTACCCAAGCCAGGCCCCAGGCACGGAGAACTTCCGGCAGGACTCGAGCACGACGCACTCCAGCAAGGAAGCACCAGGACCTCCGTTGTTCCGGTCACGCGTCCCCATCCCGAACTTCCCGTTGCCGACATACGCTCCTATCTATAAGCCGAGGACGAGCTCTTCGCAGAGAGTCGAGGAAGCAGCAAGGACCACCACTCAGAGGACCACTACTTCCAGGACCTACGTGAACACGGACGCATACAGACAAAACGGCGCCACCACCCAAGCAACCTACGGAAGTGGCTTCGAGACGACCACCATTACCCCTTTCGCCACCCCTGAGTATCAGGCTAACACGGAGATCTCGAACAGCTACAGCAACGTGGAGAGCTACCCCAGGAACAGCCCTACACCCGGGGCTTATGGGGTCCCGCAGAACCAAACCACCTCAGGACAATATCCCACCGAAGGGTACCAACGGAACACCGTGACGGCCAGACCGTACTATCAGGAGGTGAACATTGATCAGAGAACGGAGGCATATCCGACGACCTCTTACGAGAACACGGAGGGGTACAGAGACGCTTATGGAGGTGGAGTCCCCGAGAGAACTGATGGGAACTTTCCAGGGAACGTGGCAAGGGGTCCTACATCGGCTTACCATGGTCAGGCTTCGAGCTTCGGGGCGCAGGAGGCGGATTCTCCTTTGAAGGATGACCAGGAACGGGAAGGGGCGTTCTCCACCAGGAGTCCTTTCAGGACCTCGCAGAACTCAATCGGGGTTGCGACGGAAAAGCCGTATCGCAATGCCGGGAGGACGCTGAGTCCCTACGACACCAGCTTCACCTACAGGCAGGGGAAAGTGACGTCCACCCAAGGACCCTATGTCCCATTCACCAGGAATTATGCGTTTGGAAGCACGAGCACCACCCCTAGGTCAATCGCGAATCCCGGAACTACGTCGACCTATGACTCGGGCGGGTCGGATCTTAAATCCACCCTAAAGAACACCTTGACGAGGGGGAACGTACCCTCTTCTACCGCCAGGGTTAGAGGAAGTGCGACATATCTTCCTAAAGGGAATTCGGGGATTGGGAGGACACCTGGCTTCGAAGGGAGACCCCCACCCGAACGGGAGCACGCCATCAGCATGTTGCAGTCTCTTCAGGGTCTGGAGGGCACCGTCCCCGCGCTCGGGGACTACGTTAATGGAAGTAGGTCTGGACTGAACATCCCTACCTCTTCAGGTCCCTCCGCTCTGCACTCCTTGGCTCTGTACTTTGCAACGGCCAGTGAAGAGGCTAATTCCACCGAGACGCTGAACGAATCCGCATCCGGTGCTAACGTCGCTCCCGAGGGAGAGATCTCGAAGAAGAGCGACGCGTCCGCGGAACTGCCCGTCAACATCCTGACTCAGCACACGGTGAACTCGTACGTGGACTTGTTCAACTTGAATAACGTCCTGGAGACGAATGCCACCGAGAAAGACCCTGAAGAGGGAGACGACACCAGCGAGGACCTGGATCTTCAGCAAAGCGAGGGTCCCTTGAACGGAGGCAGGAAGTCCAACAACACGAAGCTTCGGGAGCTCGCCCAGGTCTTCACCCACGCTCTGTCGGCCTACCTTCAGGATCCTGACACCTTCAAGAAGGTCCTCACCGAAATCAGGCCCACGGAACCATCCGCGACCAGTGACAACGACATCTGGGACGTCACCACCGAGTACCCCACGACGTCCGAGGAGTATCCCTCGGTGACGAAGGAGAAGGACGAGGTCCTGGACTTTTCGGACGTGACCAAAGTGTCCTGGAGAAAGAAACCGACCTCGACCTACCCCAGCACCACCCAGCCCTCCGCCGAGTCCACGTTCCACACGTACTACACATCACCTCCGGACTACTTCACCACGATTTCCGTAGCTACGTCAGAGTCTAGATACCCTCCGGTTGCTCCAACATCTTCAAGTTTAAGTCGAAATGGGTTTATAGATAGTCAGGAACAGCCGCAGGGGAACAACGTCGCCTTCGAGGTCAACCAAGCGTTTGGATCTAGCAGGGGAAGCGACGTAGAAAATTACCAGGGTGGATCTGTTGGATCCAGCTTCAGCGACTATTTCCCCATAGGTTCCGTCCAGAACGGAACCACCAGCGAACCGTATGGGAAACGCGTGAAACCCTTTGATGCGACCCCCATAAATAATTATGTAGCTTCGTCGACTCCTGCCTCCTTCCAGGCTGATGGTGGAGTAGAGGGTATCCGAAGAGTCGCCACGGGGAGGATCTCCGAAAAGCTAACGCCACCCCTCTTCGGGAAGTACATGAACACTGCCACTACTGATAGCTTTGATGATGACAAGTACAACAGCGTCGCCGCGAGTTTCGGGAACGTAAGGACGACTCCAGTTTTCCAGAAGAACGACTCGTCTCAGTTTACCAAACCGCCGTTTAGGATCAACTATTATGGACCATCGGACTCGGAGCCGGTGAAGGAGTCTCTGGTAACGGCAAGTAGTCTTCGCCCGACCTATAATAGCAGGAACAATCTTGAAAAGGACTCAAGGACCACTCCTAGATCAGCAACGTCCACCGTTGGGAGGCACCGGGTCCAGGATCGCCTGATAACGACCACTCGAAGACCCGAAAGGGCTCGTTTGCCGGCAACCTCGAAGACTCGAGAACCCACCTATTCGGATCGACAGACCAACGATCATTGGACGTCATCCCCTGTATTGTCTCAGCTCTGGGAAACCACCGTTTTTGTGGATCCAAACCACATAAACCGTGGACTGGTGGATAATCCTGCGGTTACTCAGCCCACCGTCTTCGAGTCCACCTCGAGGGATGGCGTGGACCTTGGGACCACCACCTTGCCCAGGGAAACGCTGATTACGGGCGCTTCTGGTGGTATCGCTCCTGGGAATAATGGAGAACAGTCCAGGTCCTGGAAATGGAACCCCAGCAACGACGATACACCCACTGTGTTCACGTTGCTGCCGAATGCGTACCAGACGGAGAACTCTGCGACACCCACGCCGACCTACACCACGCATTCCAGTATTACCACCACCATAACCTCCTCCATCATCGCGACAAACGTCCCCCAGGATGCGTTGGCACCCTCTGAGTCCTTCAGGTTTGGCGCGAGTATTCTGAACGTCACCGAGAACGAGGTCCTCAGGGCGCAGGAGATGTTCGGGAAGCTGAACGCATCCAGCACCAACACCCTGATGAAGGTGATGAAGCAAGCCGACAACAACTCCACCGTCCGCCAGTTGGTTCTTCTGTTGATCAGCCATTGCAACGGCCCCATGAACAAGACCATGGAGCAGGAGAAGGAGCAACTCCTGGACGCCCTGCTGAGATTGCCTGTGAACGAGTTCACGTCAGAAGAATCCCGGGATATCGTATCTGGTATCAATAGGTTGAACCTTCCTGTTGGTAGGTCCAGGTTCATCCTGGGACCTAGTGCGACCTCCACAACGGAGAGGTCCGTTTCCACGGCTCCTTCCGTGACGACGTTCAGGAGTAGGAAGGGCAGGAGGTTCAAGAGCACCACGGAGACCCCGAAGAGCGCCTCGAGGAGGAACGACGAGATCGACACCGCCGAGACCCGGAATTCCCTGTCCCCGGATGACTCTTCGGCTTCGGACAACCGGGCTCTGGAACTCCTCAGGTCTCTCTACTCCATAGCTGCCAAGTGGGGTTGAGCAAGGACCTCGTCGCGATCGATCAGATGTCCGTTGGATAACTTCTGCAAGAATTCAGGAACCCGGAAGCGACTTGCCGAAGAGGCGACGTTTCCTGCCACGCGTTGAAGTCTCCCAAATGTTGACGTCTTCGATGCTTCTGCCGGCTCTTCGGGGCCGAACTTCTTCGTTTGGAGGATTCTATTGGTTTCTTCCGTGTTCTCCAGTTCTCTCCAGGTCGGGTCTTGGCCGAGTGTATGGGATTTGTGAACGAGGAACCTTATCTTCGACCCGGCGAAGTTATCGAACCGACGCGATCGCGATGGACCCCCGTGGGGATGGCTACGTTTTTATAGAAAATCAAACTGACGGCCTCTGCATCAGCAATCTTAATGTTTAAGGACCCGGTGCGAATCTCCATGTCCTGGGGACTGTGTCGATCCGTCGACACCTGGTGCGAGAGGGATGCGTCGGAATATTTATACGCGTATGTAGGTTGTCTCCATGCTCTCTGTTAGCATTCGTAGAACACAGGGGTGGATTTGGGTTTTGACGGGGTTTATGGGACATTCTTGATTCGGTGGGATTAAATTCTGATAAGGGTCGTCGAAGTGGGTGTGCAGAGCGCGCGACGCCCTCTTCGACGTCGATGACGAAGAGACTCTTCATCATTTAATATGGGTCATGATCTTCCGGAGCAGAGTTCCATGATTTACCAACAATCCATTCTGTAACATGAATTATTTGCTATACTTACGGTACTTTTATTAAAACAGAAAAACGCAGCATTCATTATGTAGTCCTCATCAATAACAAAATTTTCTTCATCTGGACTGCTGATACCAAGACGTCGTATTTTGATACAAGGAAGCGTTCATATTTAATTAGTAATTATTTAAAATTGGAAATTATCTGACTCCGATGATTTGATAATGGTGCTATTGGGGTGGGGTGTTAAACAATTAATTATGTGTCCGGTGTTTGCTCGACTTAACTTATTTGCTCGCAAACTCGTGCTGTCATTCGGTAAGATTTAAGGAAAATAAGAGATATAATTATATTATATTATAGAAACATGGTGATGGTGTAATTTCATTGTTGTATTTTTTTTTCTGTTTTTTTTTATTCTTCATTGTTTGGATGTTTCGGATTTATGCGCGCTCTCCACTCCTGCTCGATTCGGGAATATCCAAACGCGGAAATGAGTGCATGAGTTAGCGTGTAGATATTGAATTTATGTAAAATACGTTTGTATAGTGTACGAGTAAATAAACGAGGGTTTTGTTAACGAACACGGTAAAGCGGGATCTGCTTATTCGTTTTACGTGTTACCTTCATTAACGTTCAATGAATCTCGATAATGTCAGTTCTGTGAATATAAATTATAGAATTAAACATTTATGTGTTCTCATACAAGTAGAGGATGTTACGCGTAATGCACAGTATGTCCAAAATTAATAAAATATCACCCAGGAATACTTCGCGTGAAATTATTTAGCTCGATACGAATCTCCGCGTGAGACTTATGCAAAACTCTGCCCCGTACGTACAAACAATCGCGTTAAAATATTTAAACTTCATTTTCCTCTCGGTGTATTATTTCAACGTCCTCCTGTTCGCTTCAAATTAAACGAACCGCAAATTTCCGCGGGAGGTGAATTTTTGTTAGAAAATTGAACGGAAGGTTGTACCATTCCGTGTCGCAAATTAAAGGTTGCACATACGACCGGGATCATTATGTAATAATTGACAGGTTTTACATGCAACATTCCCTAAGTACATATATTGAAAGGAAGGCTCTTCGCTAAATTACCGCAAAATTATACAGTTCCAGGATAACAAGATTCACGATCACTCCGGGCGATTTGCTTCCCAGGTTGGCCTGAACAAAATGAAGAAAATTAAACAAAGTCTTTAAATTAAAAAAATAAAAATGAAGTTGTATATTTTTAATCCATAAGTCGAGCGGGTTGAAAAAAAAAAAAATTTAAGCGCTCGCTTTTGCAGTCATGACTTGGGATCGATGAAGTGCACGCGAAGAATGCATAAAAATGCAAACCATAGAGCTATGCAAGGACGTGCATCCAGCCACGCGAACATGGCGGAGGTGAACGTCGAACAGCCCTAGGATTGCGTTAAACGCGATGAATCCTTGTTGAACCTTCGAATGGGATCTCTTTAGCGTGAAAAGTAACGAAGGTCGTTCGCCGATACGTGCGATGCATCTAGTGCATCCTCTTCAAGGATCGATGCAGGTCCTGAAGAATGGATGCAATCGATGCATCGACGCCCTTCGACGGATTCCCCTGATCAATGAACAAATTGCAGCTCCTTTGACAGGTGAAATAATCACTGGGTGCGCCGTGGAAAAATGACTCCTCTTTAACAATCCGGTTCTCCACTGAACACAGTAATTTCTAGTAATTACCGCTTTCTTCTTTTCTGGCTGACTCGCGGGTGAGAAGTTGGATTATCGCATCGGGATAAATATCGATACTCCTGATCCACCCGAGATATAAGGTCATCCTCGATGCGATGATTACAGCGACATTTCGTCGGGTACGGATCTATTTTTCCACGTGCGAAAATTCAATGATGCGGTTATTATCGTATGTCTCCAGCTTACTGTAGGGTAATTCCAATAATGACGGCTTTGACTTTCCTTCCGCGTTCGGGGGAGCAATCAGACACTCGGATTGATACTTCTGCCCTCGCGGCACTCGTAATTTCCATTCATTCGGTCATTTCTCCGCAAATCCCGGCGATGATACGTGTCCCGCTACCGGATCATCATAGATCCTTGGGAGAACCACCGAAGTAGGTAGTTAGGAGTCGCATCTTCATCCAGCACCCAGCCTTAAAAAAAATATGTATTTCTCCAAAAATGCGTTCTCGACATTCTAATGATGACTGCGTCGATATTTCCAATCATCGATCATCGGAAACCTGGTTCAACCTGCGTCATCTCATCATAGTCATTCCCAACATCCTCTCTTTCATCTGCAAAGAAAATGTCACACTCCATCTCGACATCATCTTTTATCCGTGAAATTAATTTGAAAAAATGTTTAATTCATTTGTTTATCTAATAGGACGGTTTTACATTTTTTAGCGACGTGGTGTGTTCATGTTATCGATGTCTTCGAGCATTGGGGATAATTATCGGTAGATTGGGAGGTGTGCAAACGTGGTCAGCGTCCTCTTCATCGCCGCAGCCGATGAACGCCTCGTCGGGTCGTCCCTCGAACTTAATTGGAGGTTTGCATTGGCCAACCCCATCCGAGCCAACCCAAGCTAGCATATTCCATGATATCGTGGTCGATTGCGTCAGTGACGACCTTTTGCCGGCTCGGCGGTGGAGCGTAGAGGTAATTGCAGAGCAGCCGGGGACCAGGGCGGAATCGAGCCGACACGAGGACGGGAGTAGCTGGCCGGTAGCTGGTCACCACGAAGGAGATGCCGAAGATCCACTCCTAGACGCCATCACCTTCGATGACCTGCTCCTACGCCAAAGAAAAAAATGGTTTCTTGTTCCACTACGGTTTAAATAAAAAATGAAATCCATTACCTGGAGATGAAAAAAAATAATTATTCTGGAAATAAGGCAGTAATTCTTTTTGTTTCTCAGACACGAAAAAATTAGAAAATAAAATCATTCTTCTAGAGATGCCTGGTCGCCACGAAGGAGATGCCGAAGATCCACTCCTAGACGCCATCACCTTCGATGACCTGCTCCTACGCCAAAGAAAAAAATGGTTTCTTGTTCCACTACGGTTTAAATAAAAAATGAAATCCATTACCTGGAGATGAAAAAAATAATTATTCTGGAAATTAGGCAGTAATTCTTTTTGTTTCTCAGACACGAAAAAATTAGAAAATAAAATCATTCTTCTAGAGATGCCTGGTCGCCACGAAGAAGATGCAGAAGGCTGCAGGGACGCCATCGGAAGCGAAGAGGAGTCGCTTCTGTGCAGGAAAATAATGTATCGCTCTTCTCTTTTTTGCAGAAACAAAAAGAATTTAATTATTTCCGAAATGATATGGTACGACGTGTAGGTAATCAATGCGAAGTACTCTTCAGGGTTTATTGGATTTAAATGGATTCAGGGTGGATGCATTTCTAGGTACGCGATGTCGCAATCGAACCTCTGTCTACTCGAGTCCACGTGGTCGGTTTTCAAGAGCAGAAATGCACCTTGCACTCTAGTTTCGCGGACTATCATCGAATCAGTTCCTGTATAGACGCAGCGAAGCATGGATATCCGGTTGGCGAGGAATCACCAGGGTGTAGGATCTCTCCGCGAGAGTAATAACTTGATCGGCCAGAGGGCAAAGCGGTATCGCTCGGGTTCGATTGAGTTAGCCTTCGATTTATGTCTCGATCTATCGGCGATCGATCGCGAACTTAACGCGGGAACAGGGATAGACGAGGTGCGGTCTTCATCGACTTTCCACTCCGGTTCAACCGACACCCGACCTGCATCGCCTCCGACATTGGTCTTGCATAAATCCACCCGTTGCACCGGAGTGCATGTGCAACCTGGATATGCAGAAATTTTGAGGATTCCAAGGAACCAGCGCGTAAATGTCAGTCGAGGATGCACGTGCTTCTGCATCCTCCGGGATCTCCCCTCGACTTCGGCACTCGTATGCACTCTTATGCACCTGTATGCACCCAAGTGCAGCCGAAGGAAATCGAATCCGCGGAAGGCGCACCCAGTCGGAGGCTGCCACCGTGGAGGCGCGTTAAAGTCGACTCCCTCGAATTTACTACGCATTCCCACGTAACCCATAATGAAGCTTAATGTCCTCGTAAATTCGCCACGAGCGAGCGGCGCAAACGCCGCGGAAAAATCGCGGTGAACTGCATCGACGAGGCCGACCGATCGCTCACGCGCGATCGGAGAACGCATCGATGATCCCGAGGTCGATATGGAAGAGGTGAAACCTAGAGCTGGTTGAGGTGATATGTAAGAATATGTATATATATACAAAACGTCAAAATATTTATACAATTCTTCTACAAATTGGATGCACCGAGTAATTTGATACTTCACCACGTGGAGGTGTTTCAAATTATTCGGTGCACCCAGTTTGGAGAAAAGTTTTAAAAATATTTTGACCTTTTGCATTTGTAGAATAACCCTTTCGTATTACCTTAAGGCTTGGAATAAATTCCCGGTTAATCCTATTCCAAGTCCCGAAACGCAGACTCCACGTTTAAGGAAGACCCTCGTTAGCCGGTGAAATTTATTTCTTCTCCGAGTGAGAATGAAATCCCTATCGAGTAACGAGCGAGATCTGTAGGAGGATCCTGAAGAGGAATCGGGGAGAAAGTCGCCGCTTCTTTGGTCATAATAGGTATTGCCTCGGTGGGTTCTTCAGGTTTGCCCGAGTCCTCCACTTCGACTCGATGGAAACGTCTCCTTTCCAGGAAAACCGACGAAAGAGGATTCGAAGGGAATTTTAATTTACGTCGAAGGAGCTTCGGGACGTTTTTTTCACATTTTCTTTCCTATGCACATGTGCAAATGCACTTGTTACTGCATCACCGGTCGACGCGATGAGTAAGGACTCGTAAAGTGAGGAGATTACGGTGCGTTACTTTTCGGAGTGCCGCGTTCCCGGCATACTTTCGACCGAGGAACTTGAAGATGCCCCTTTCGCACGACCCCTCCTTCGGGGCATTATCCGGCATTAAGTTATAACAGTTACATAAATACGGTATTAACTTTCGCAACGCGGAGGTGCGTTTATCGGAGTACGTGCGTGTCTTGAGGAAGATGCCGAAGAGGTGGTCTAGATACCTGAAGTGTCATCAAAGGTAGGATACAGGGGAGAACCGCTCCTCTTGGTCCCAGGATCTGGTCCAGGGATGGCAATATCGACGTCAGGATCCAGACTCGTCTTCGCCGTCTTCGCTATCCCTGAGATAACGAGGTCCCCCTTTCTAGGGGGGTGTATGAATATTTATGGGGGATTCAAGGGGAGAGAACGATAGGACCTACGTTTAGCGCCCACCTTGTGGTACATGACCCTAGATTTTCCAATTTGAGGTGCTGATAAAAATCCATGGAAATTTCCAGACATTTTCGTGTTTCATATTTAAATGCAGGAAATATTGAGTATTCATCGTAGGGCTTTTTTACTTGAATTTAATCTAACGCAGGGTATCATTTTATTCAACATGGATGCTGAATGTCATGTTACAGAGATTGTGTAATTTGACGGGAATTTATTGTCGCATTAAAATGATCTATGATT